AGAGAATCCATTTTGGTGAAAATATCTCCTTCAGTGATGTGAGAGGATCATTTGTGAAAGGGGCGGAGGATGTGATAAATATTTACCTGTTTCGATACACTGTCAATAAGTCTGACGTAGAGGTCTTGCTCAGCTCGAAGTCCTGAAAATAAAAATAGTTCTCATCTACTGGGACTCATCCCTCAAAAAAGGAATGAAGAGCTGGCACAACATTACTCTTGCAAAGCATCTTAGAATATAAGAGGTAAAGTATACTATACTTATGTTTTTGTTGAAATCGCCTGACGATAAAAGATAACATAAACGAAAAAAGATTGGTAAAGATTCCTAAAATGAGCTGCTTATAACATTTTTTAAAAATCAGATTAGCAACCAAATATCCACTAATGCGATACGCGTTTTAACCAAAAAAAAGATCTGATAAAAAGGTTAGAAGTTTTCGAATAATTAATTTAATCAATTGAAAATTTCGACTTATTTATTAAAGAGCTCTATTCTTCTTAAGACCGGTTTTTAAACTGATTCAGGGAGATAATGAAAAAGAACTGTTATTGCTACAAGTTGCAAACAAAAAATATAATAAATGCTTACCATTTTGAAATAGCACATAAAGCTTGTAGTGAATTCCGTTCTTCGTGTCTTGTCCGTCAATTTCTCTATCCTTTTCGACGAAGCCAGCGAATTGTGTCCGTTCAATTTCGATAGGTTGACTTGCACGATCGTATAAGGCAACGACAAAGTGGAAAAAGTTCGACTTGCGCAGATTGTTGGGAGGATGCTTCTCGAAATGTGCACGAGCAAGTTGTGCGCTAAAATTAAAATCAGTTAAAGAATGAAACAAGCAGAGTTTGATCGAAAAAGTTTTTGCCCATTTTTGGGATGAGAACTAACAGAATTAAAGGTCATAATGATAGTAACCAAACATATGCGGGTTCTATGGAGGTATGGGAGGATAGAAAAGAGCGTATGGCTTCCGTGAACCGAACTCATTATGGGTGTGTTCGGTTCTCGCCGCTGCACAGGGACCTGGGGACTGAAACCGCGAGGGAGGCATAGCAACTTGCTTGCAGATTAAATGTGCATTTCATGTCAGCTACAGCACATTTCTGGCATGGAATGACTCCGACGACATCCTGCGAAGTCGCCATCAATACGGATCTTGTAATTAATGCGATATAACCAAAATATAGGTGTTTTTCAGAGCTGATTTCGATGAGTTAAGTTACCTGGCCGGTGATGGGTCAATGAGCGATGGTGCCCACGTGGCTCGAAGACTTTCATCTTTCATAGATCGTAGCAAGGTGGAGCCGTCAGAGAAGAACATGGCTGGCCCCTCGGGAGGTGCCTTCATTAGAGCTCAATCCGCTTCAATTGCCTCGGCTCCGCCCATCCGCACGATGGACGAATCATAATACGAGGCGCTACCGTACTACACTTAGGGGCAATCGATGTTCCAATTACGGAAGCACAAGCCGCTTTAATCAACTAACCAGTGGCTTAAAGCACTCTCTGAGATTCTACACATAGAAAAGTGTCCATTATCTTTTAGCAAACCTGCAGAAGTGTCCTATTTGCATGTTAATTTTTAAACATATATATTACATAATAGAAAATTTTGATGAAAACCTTTGAGTCACCTTTGTTAAAATATCGAGCTGTCAAACTTATCATTATATATTGGGTCTGTTCAGGAAGATAGAGTTATCTAAAGCGCATTCATGGTGTATTTTGAGTCATATGTCTCTCTACTGCTGAAGATGTATTAAATTTATGCATACACAATTTTACACAGTTTTATCAACACGATGCGCCAATTCTCGACATCCACACTCACAATGTGTATGTGTGATGCATATCGCTGGTATGCTAATTTGGCACGCAGTTTGTCAGTGAGAGTGACTTGAAATATACGGACAGCTGCGCGCCCGATATGCTAATCGTGCCCAACAATTTCTAATGGGCTTGTTGAAGAATATAAGTTAGGATAAAGTGGGACATTGGATGAAACACAATCATAATTGCAAATAAATACAAGATAAAATAGGTCTTCTGCTTTCCACTTCTTCCATTAGTATCGTTTTTGTCTCGT